GATGTGGTTTTTGTGGATAGCGTTCTCAAAAATATTTAAATATTTTGGGGTATGGAAAAAAAATACTTTGCAAACAGTTCCCGTCAAAATTCTTAGAACTTTAATTTCTACAACCTTTCTCAAAATCAGAGAGATGGAACATCATTGATTGAAAGTATGCTCAGTCATGGCTCACGTGGTCTGGCTCATAGAATGGTATAAGTGAACTTCTGATTGTCCTACTCAGCATATCTCACATCATCACTTTTTATCAAAGAGAAAAGTGTTGGCGATTCGCTTTTCCTCCCGGTTTCGAACTAAATCAAATTTATTTAATGAGATCTAAATTCACTTAACAATTAATTTAATTTAAAAATTATTTTTCACTGCAAAAAAGTTTTACCGTTAATTTACTACGAAAGAAGAGGTCAACATAGTCATTGATTCTTGATGACTGTAAAAGAATATATCAACCGTAGTTAAGGTGAAGTTCGCCTGAAACTGGATAGTACACAAATCCATGGAGCATTTTATTACAAACTGAACTTTGAAAAGCTAAATCACGCCCCTTTTTTGCCAAGAACAGCAGTTTAAAATATCTACGTAGCAGAATAAGTCTATTTGTTAATACAAGATTGGAAACCGGTCTTATTATACAGTAAATATTGCTTTATATACTTCTGCAGACATATCATAAACTCTATTTTGTTGACTATGAGTCTCGTGAGTCTTCAGAATTATCTACTATTATATATAGTTATATATCAGAGGTGTCCATGGGGGCGCCACATTCGACGCCAAGTTTGCCCTGCAGGGCAAAACACACGTCGATTGTGGCGCCCCCATGGACACCTCTGTTATATATCTCATTCTTGGGCGGTGAGTGTGGAGATATTTTAGAATTACTTGTTACTGTATAAAACTATTCACTTGATAAACTCACCATCAAAAACAGAGGGTTTATACGTATATAAATAAATAATTGTAAGGACAGCTAGTCACCTTTATATAAGTCTACACATCCCCTTATCTCCCTAGCTGGATTATCCAAGCAGAGAATTTTGATAACTATTCATGACTTTTAACTCTTTCCCTTCTTTTCAGGTTTTTCCATCCTCACCGTTAGAAAAAACCTACTTGTTTAGGTATATGCTTCTTCTCTTACCGATCAAAAGGTTAGGGTCTAGAAATTTATTGTTAAAGTAGAAATCGCTCAATGGTTTAGCAGTAGTTGCTCACAGATTTTGTGTTAAGTGATGACAACTGCTCGTAGTTGAACATATCTCAAAATAATTTGAATAAGATATTGTCTACTTCTTAAAAATTCCTGATTACGTCATTCAAATATATCAAAAACTAAAATGTAATCTATTGAAATATTTTCGTTTTTTGATGAGTTGTATCTTAAACAGCAGACAATAGTAACAAGTAACGCGTCAGCTCCGTGAGGCTTGCTTAGCTCAATCCTGAAATTAAGAAGAAAAATAATGTAGAATATTGACTCCCATATTGCTAAACACATTCCTAAATACGACTGAAATAAAATCCAAGAAGCTCTTTACATGACCATCATGAACAAGTTCGATTGAAATCTATTAGCAGTTCAATAGTTTGTAGTTCGTTATTCTTCTGCATATCAAACACACTTGCTTGCACTACTGTTAGAACATATTTCGCTTGGTTTCCTGGGTAAAAATCTGCCATCATTTGGATATGTAATACATCATTTGTTGAAAAACTAAATCTGAACAAGGCAAGCGTCCATGATACAAGATACTTTATAAGTTTCTTGTACTATTACATAACTTGCAAAAGCGGACATGTCAGTATTTGTATTTTAAAAGGTTGGTCATACAACACCTACTAAGATAATTTTTGCTTATTATTAGAAGCTTATTTCAAACTAATGACATAAACAAACAGTACTGTCAACTCATTTTAGGCTTCATTAAAAAGATTTCACATATTATCAAGTAAGAACAACGCATATGAAATGTATTAAATGTTTAAATTTGTCCAACATAAATCTGAACAATCGATGTCCTGTGCTGGAAAATTCGAAATCTTGTCGCTGTTAATTTCTGTACGAACTAGTTCCACAACATTTGCTCTGTGTATATCAATACATTATTATTAATAGAGTTCCCCTTCAAGGAATGCGAATGTAGGTTTGCGAATAGGCTGATACTTAGCACAAACGAATACCTTAACCTGCACTTTACATCAATCCTTACCCTCATTCTAATACCCATATCCACACCAATACTCTGACTTACACAAAAACTGCTACCCTAGACTATCTTCCACAATCACATCCCATGCTCACATTTCACTCACACACACCGATATCCTACACGGCACTAAGGATAGATCATACTGAAGCTTGGTATTCAAAAATTGGGTTCAATCTTTGTTTCACTACGTGTAAGTTTGATTCTCATAAGTGTTTAACTTGTCTGTATATATAATTAATATTTCTCTTATTATTGCAGAGTTAAAGTGTTTTTTAAATCAAAGCATAGTATTCTAGAGATTTCTTTCATTAAATGTTAACAAATAGAAACGTTTGATTTTTTAAAAATAATATGTTCTACGTTTATTCATAAAATAAATGATATATATCGAATGTCTTATCGAACCCTTTGCATCAAAGCACACTTATATGAAGAAAAAGAAACTTCCTGAAAGTGAATTAACCGCGGAAGATAGGGTTTTTTATGGTAAATTTTTACCGTATCTTGAAAAAGTATTGTAGATCCTACAATAACTAAAGAAAAGTTTTAATGTTTTTCTGGATGTTCTGCATGATCTTAGTTTGTTGATGACATTTCTTTTGCTTCAAATAGCAAGTAAGAATACGAAATGAATAAATTCAACAAAAAGTACACTTATTTTAATTTAGTATCGAAAAATTGAGTAGAAAAATGTTAATTGTTTAAATTACATGTGTTTCGCTATAGAAAACTTTACGGTGCCACAGAGCATGTGTTGATAGATATTTTTTGCGATAGAAAAGAAAATCAAATATCCTATTTTCT